ATAATGCTGTGTTTTGTTTCTGTGTTTTAGATCATTCTGTTGAAGTTTTTGTTTTGGAGTTTTTAGCCAGGAGGGAGGGTTTCAGTACTTTTATACAAAGTTACAGTAGTTTTTTTACTTGAAAGATTTCACTTACAATTTTATGTGTCAGTCATTTTGTTGTTCTAGATGTAAGATTTTTTTAAACAGTTGAACAGATGACAGACCACAGAGAGCCCCATTGAATTGCCACCAGAGATTCCCATTTGAGTAGTTGGTCACAATGGATCAATATTTACTATTAGCATTAAGTTCAGATGTCACCATTGTGTTCATAATAATAGCATAAGAGATTTAAACATTTTAATGAACTCTAGGGATATTGCTTATGAGAGCAATTGCTTTGCTGAAGTTATGATATCTTGTGTCTGGGGCGTTTTTAGGTCAGCTATCCCATCGAGACACAGGAAGTTCAGTTAGTTTGCTGTACACGTTCTTAGGGAAACTAAGACTGGTACCCAGAGGTGATCCCATTCTTTTCTAATTGTTTTCAGATTCTTCTCACTTGTCTGCAGTTTCCTACATCCATTTCTTTCTTTAAGAATATTATGACAGCCCTGGCCAGTTTGGCCTAGCAGTTAGAGCGTCGGCCCGCAGACCAGAGAGTCCTGGGTTCGGTTCCCACTAAGGGCACATACCTCCGTTGCAGTTTGTCCCCGCCCTGGTTGGGGTCATGTGGGTGGCAACCAGTCGATGTATCTCTCTCTCACATTGATGTTTCTCTTTTTCCCTCTCTCTCTCCCGCTCTATCTTTTTTAAATAAAAATAAAAAGAACATTATGACAATATTTTCAATTTCCAATATTTCAGTACCACTCTGGATTGGATTCTTGAATGGCTTGAAGAGAGAATATGACAGGCCCTGCATAGTATTAGGGCCTGAAGACTTCAGCAAATTGAAAGCAATTATCAAGGAAGGAAAAGGTGGTTACTTGAACACCTACGTGCTAGGCCAGAGCTAAACACTTTCTTGTGTGTTGTCTCCGTTACTATTTCTTTAACCCATCTTAGGCTTCAACTTTATGGGATATTTTTTCTAATCTTGTCAAGTTTAGAGATTGTTCTACTTGATGGAAAATGTGGAAGCAAATAGGAAGCTAGGAGCTGTGCCTTCTTGCCTTCATCTATTAATATTTTACCACGTCTATTAATATTTTACCATCTTCCCCGTCTGTTCCTTGTGGCCCTTTGTCCTAAGATTGCACCTTCCTGACACCTTGCTTAGAGACTTCAGTCGTTCTTTCTCTGGTTTTGTATCTGTCTGGTTTCTGTGTATGTCTGATCACTCCTTCTGAAGCTGTGGTGGTGTCTGTAGATCTTCCCCGCTTCTGTCTTCATTGGGATAATGTGTTACTGAACTGTCAGAATTCTTGTTTTAACGTCTCCAGTGTTTGTTGAGCCGTGTTATCTTTCAGGTTCTTTGGCTATGATACTTCACCTTTTTTCTCCTCTAAAGTCCTTGAAATATATCCACCAAACTTTAAATAAATTCAGTAATGTCTGATGTTCTGTTTTTCTTCTATTACAGTGAGTTTCAACCTTTCTCATCTCATGGCACACATAAACTAATTAATGCTAAAATTCTGTGGCGCACCAAAAAATAGATTATATTTTTTTGCCAATCTTACAAAAAAGGGTATAGTTTTGATTCATTCACACCGGATGACCATTGTGTTGGCAATTGTCATTTGTTTATTTGACAGTCTAAGGGAAAAGAGGTCAGTGCCCCTGGCTAAATAGTCAGGTATAGCATGTCTTAAAAATTCTTGCAGCACACCAGGTGAAAATCGCTGTTCTATCAACTTTAAGACAGCAAGGTTACTTTCTCCGGTAATCCCCATAGGTTTTACCATGGTTATTTCTTTCTCTACTTTAAGAGGTTTTTGGTTATATTTGATCCAACATTTCTTTTACAGCAAAGCAAAGATTATGGTAAATTTGCAATGGAGGTGTCTACAGGTGGTCCAAAACCGAAGTTCCAGTTTAGGGCACGCAAAAGCTTCAAAGCAGAATCATCCAGGGGAATCCTAATGGGGTGGGTGTTGTAGCACCATGTAGCCAATGGATACTCAGTCTGCTAATTTCTCATCCCGCAGTGTGGGCCAAGCTGAAACTGCAGAAAGCGTCAGAACGATGGCAGCCTGACACTGAGGTGGGTGCTAACGTACTGTCTGGAATAACATCAAATGACAGAGGCCCCTCACCATGTAGAAGGGAGGTGAAAATGGTCCCCGGTTCACTGCATATAGAGTATAATGTGACAATGTCTATACATTCACTCTTGACATGTAAGCCTAATTTATTTGTGGTATTAAATATGTCAGACTTTAAGTCTGTGTCTTTTTTTTTTATTTCTTTTTTGTTCAGATAGAGTGGGGGGGGGGAGAGGAAGAGAGAGAGAGAAACATCCAACATGAAAGGTACACATTGAGTGGCTGCCACCCGCACCACCCAACCAGGGCCGGGGATAAACTGCAACCGAGATACGTGCCCTTAGCGGGAACCGAACCCGGGTCTCTGATCCGCAGGCCGACGCTCTAACCGCTGAGCTAAACCAGCCAGAGCTAAGTCTGTGTCTTAAGACAGTTGTGTTTTCCCACTGAAGCTTTTTTTTCCCCCACCACCAGCATCCCCTTTAATAAAACATGGAAAGTTGTGGGACAGGGAAGGGGGACCCCACTGAAATTTTGAAGTGGCAAGCAGAAGTACCCAATGTCTTGTCCTGCTGTGGGGATTTATAAGCTGAGAAATTGAGAATCCATGTCACACATCGATCTTTGAACATAGCATCCATTGAGAGGCTCTCATGGGGTGGGGAGGCGTCCTTTTTGGTCTGGAGATAGTCATCCCAAACAGCAGATTTCAGCGATGAGGATGACATATCTATGAGGTATAGTAGCAACTTTTTTCCTCTAGGTCAGTGATTTTTTTTTTTTTTTGATATTTTTGTTCAGATAGAGTGGGAGGGAGAGAGAGAGAGAGAGAGAGAAACATCGATGTGAAGGGGACACATTGAGTGGCCGCCACCCACACAACCAACCAGGGCCGGGGACAAACTGCAACCGAGGTACATGCCCTTAGCGGGAACCGAACCCGGGTCTCTCCGGACCGCAGGCCGACGCTCTAACCGCTGAGCCAAACCGGCCAGGGCTAGGTCAGTGATTTTTAATACTCCTCTTTTAGTAGCAGTGCTGTCTGCACGCTGTAATGTAGAATTCCGACGTATGAAAGAGAATGAAGCACAGCTGCTCTGGAAGCAGGGAAGCTCAGCCCACTTGGCCTCCCCTTCAGCCTTCCTATCTGCCATGGCCTCTTGGGCAGACACCTAGGGTTCTTGGGAAACATTTGAACTATTGTTTTAGGTCAGCCTTTCTCAACCAGGGTTCCTCATCTTACACACAGGAAGTGATTTGAATGTATGATTTTCTCATATATCCCAAGGATGGTTCACAGGAGGTACCATTTTAGATCCTACGAGAGAAGTTGGTTCATTACACACAGTGGATGCCTTAGGGCAGTGGGGCCTAATTCTCTTCCAGAACCCAGTTAAAGGGCCATCTTAGATGAATGCCATGGACTCAGGCCAGGGTGAGCTTGGGTAGCCAGACATTGGTTCCATCCGTTTCTCCCAGGAGGCCTAGCTGACAGTGTACCCCTTCTTTTTCAGGAAGAGTATGAAGACTCCAGTGGGAATGTGGTGAATAAGAAGACATATGAGGATCTGAAAAGACAAGGACTGCTCTAGTGTTCAGGAGTGTACTTCAGCTTCTGGGCTAGACCAGGCTTCCCTCAGATCTGCTTTTTCTATTGCTCCCAGTCAAATGCTCCTAAAGACTCTGCTACTTAGTCCTATGGTCTAGCATGCATCTTGTAGAGACAAGGCATGCCGGCAGATTGCAGAGTTGAGATGTGTTTTATCTTTGTTTTATATTAAAAAACATTGTCAGAAAATAAAACCAGCCCTTGTCCTGAATGTGTCTTGTTCTGAAGCCCTGATTATGGACTAACTCAGTCCTTTAGTTCTTAACACATTCCTACCACTTTCTCATCAACTTCAGTGGCAACAAGGTTTAATGAGCACCTGTTAGGTTACAAATATTATGTTAGCCATATCTGACCTAACCTCTTTCCCGCTTCCTCGAATGAGTATTGCCCCAGGAAAAGCCCTGCCCTTGTTGAGTCAGCCATTCACGCACATTCCAGGGAAAGATGGGGAGGGTGAGCCAGGGCCGCTGCTAAGGACAAAGTTGTTGGCACGAAGGTTTGCTTTTTTTATTTGCCTAAAAGAGTTGGGCTGTTTTTTTGTTTGTTTTTTGTTAATCCTCACCCGAGGGTGTTTTTTTAAAATATTTTTTAATTGACTTTTTAGAAAGAGAGGAAGGGAGAGGGAGAGAAACATCCATCAGCTGCCTCCTGCATGCCCCCTACTGAGCATCAAGCCCACTACCCAGGCATGTGCCCTGACTGGGAGTCAAACCGGGACCTCTCAGTCCATGGGACGATGCTCAGTCAACTGAGCCACACCAGTGAGGCTGAGGATATTTTTCCATTGATTTTTTTTTTTTTTTTAGATAGAGTGGAAGGGGACGGGGGGAGAGGGGAGAGAGAGAGAGAGAGAGACATCGATTGGTTGCCCCCTGCGCAATGGGAGCTGGGAATCGAACCTGCAACCCAGGTACATGCCCTTGACTTGGAATCGAACTTCTGACCCTTCAGACCTTGAGCTGATGCTCTTACCGCTAAACCAAACCAGCCAGGACAGGTGGACTGTTTGGAATGGGCTGTCGTCCTGCCCCTTCCCCAAGCCTCAGCAGCCTGGCACGATGGAACTGGAGCGCTGGTTACTTTACCTGCTTGCTAGTTCAGAATGAGACTTGTGATCCTGTTGGTTTCTTCTGCAAGATCCCTACTTGGCTGAGAAGTGGCTAGTATTCTGTTCTGTAAGACCAGATAGTCAAGATATGGGTGGAGTTGAGTCTCTGCCCCAGGAGCTGAATCTGGTATCCCAGTGGAAGCAACTGGGGGAGCTGAGGAGGTACTGGTCTGCCCACTGGCACAACCGTCTGAAGGCCAGGGCCTGCTCCAGAGCAGTTTCCCCAGAGGTCCCTTTTCCCCTCCGCACTCAGCCTCTGAGTGTGTAATGTTTGTAATAATCCTGACTGGGAGCTGGCCCTCGCCCTCACACTTACCTGTTGCCCTGTGGTCTCCCTGGCAGTGGCGTTTACCACCCTGTCCCTGTGGCACTTCACTGTGGTTGGTATTTTCCTTCCTGGTGCAACCCCTCACATAATTTGTGCTCTAATTCTCCAGGTACTTAAAATCCTAGTAGAATAACCTTTTCAGGACCCGAGCTGAAGCAGAGGGATAATTAAACCTTATTGAGCCAACTAGAAATGTTGATTACCAAAAACTAGCCCAAAGTGCAAGGAGATATTGCCGTTTGGGAGAAGAGTTAAGCCTTGGAAATGAGAAGTGGGAGGAGACATCCCCCAGCCTTCCTGTAGCAGCATCGGGGCTCCCCAGGGAGGCAGCTGTCCCATGCCTCTTTAGGAATGGGTACCCAGGCCTCCAGGGTTAACTCTATCCCGAGAACCTGATTTTCTTCACAGTGTGCAGGGGAGATGGGACCGGGTTCTGAGGAGTTCTGCCATCAACCTTGCCCAGGTAACTGCAGTCATCTGTGAACTGTGCACCAGAGGGGTCTTGAAGGAAACCTGGACTTCCCTGTCATAGCAAAGACTTTTCCTTATTTGTTACACTCACCCAAATAATTTTTGAGTGCCTTCCATGTGCCAGACACGCCTAGGTTTGCAAACCTTAAGAATTAGGTAGAGGTGGTGGGAGCAAAACCAGAGGGAAGGAGGCTCATTAACAACCTTGTGGCCAACTCCGTCCAGCTTGGAGGGGCACAGAGCTGTTAGGGGGGCAGGCAGACAGCATCAGAAGTGGTTTCTCCCAGAGGTGACTCCTGAGAGTCCACTTCCGGGCCTCTGCTAGGAAGGTCAGGATTCCAGCTGAGCCCGGCTGGGAAGGAGTGGAGGATTGCTTTTTCTTGGTTTAGATCAATAGTTATTCATCTTTTCAGGATCAGAGATTCGTTTGAAAAGACAAAGATAACGGTGGACTTTCTCCCTAGGAAAATACACATACACAGACATTTCTGCACACAATTTTAGGGGTTCATGAATCTCCAGAAGTCCATCCTTGGTTCCTGAGTCTTCTAAGAACGTCTCCCATAGACTTGGAGTCTGAGCCTCTTCCAGGGGCTTCCTGCTGAGAACAGGTGACTCCCCTCAGAGCGGAAAGCTGCCCCATCAGAGAAGCTGCGGGACCCGCCCCTCCCATCCCAGGCAGGAAGCATCTGGGAAGTTGTTCCTGGGACTGACTCCCAGGCTGGTGCTGCTGAAGCCAAAGACTGATCCTGGGATGAACCTCCCCGGAGCAGGAGTCTCCTCACTCACCACCTCTGAGAGGAAAGTGAATAAATCTGTCCAACCTCAACTGGCCATCCTTCCTCTGCTCTCCTGTTCCCCGAATGGGGTCAGCTTGTGTTGGAAGGTTCTACAAAGGGAACCAATGTGTTGGGGAAATGAGGGACAAAGTTCTGATATTTTCTTCTCCCTCTGCATGTTTTTATTTTTTTACCCTTGTGATGATAGCTGCTTCTCCCCTCATCCCTTGAATCCTGCCAGCAGCCTCGCCTCAAAGTTCTCGTGCTGGGAATGGGCCTGTAATCTCTCCCCACACACTGCTCTTTCCACTCTCCACCAGTTCTCCCATTCCAGGTGGGCTCCGGGCGGACACTGCCCCCCCCCATCTCTTTTGAGGGCCCTCTCCACCTGCCAGGTTTGTGATCCACACAAATAAGCTACATCCCAGAGGGATGTTGGGATTGCGGGGGGGTGGGGGGTACTTTGATCTGCCCAAGCAGCCAACTGGCTTTATTGCCTCCCTCCTGCTACAGTCTGGACATTGGCTCTGCTTCCTTCTTTAGTCTGTGGCCCCTGTGTGTCCCCAGTGGCAACATCAGAGGGAATTCCCAGAGCTGGCAAATGATTGGAGGGGGGCGGGGCAGCCACCAGCTCCCTGGGGCTGCACTTGGGACTCCTGCACACACGCTGGCCCTCCACACCCACAGGTATGCAGGTGGGTCTACAGCTGGGAGTGGCTGGGGCACAGGGAATACTGGGAATATTCTCTGGAGCCATGGACGGGCACAAACTAAAGTAGATGGGCAAGCCCTGGCCGGTTTGGCTCAGCGGTTAGAGCGTCGGCCTGCGGTCCGGAGAGACCCAGGTTCGGTTCCCACTAAGGGCATGTGCCTCGGTTGCAGTTTGTCCCCGGCCCTGGTTGGTCGTGCGGGTGGCAGCCACTCGATGTGTCCCTTTCACGTCGATGTTTCTCTCTCTCTCTCTCTTCCTCTCTCTCCCTCCCACTCTATCTGTGCAAAAAATGGAAAAAAAAAAAAATGTCCTCGGGTGAGGATAAAATAGATGGGCAAGGAGCCAGAACTAATACCGACCAGGAAGTAATCGTCCAGGCTGTGCCTGCTCTCTGACTCTGCTGAGTGTCAGGCCCTCTCACACTCCTGGACAGTCCTTGCAGCCTCATCTACCCACACCAGGGAGGAGGAAGAGGGGCTTGTGCGGGAGGCCTGGGCTCTTCCTTTCACAAGGACGCAAGGACCTGGGTAGAACCTTTGGGACCTTCCCAAACCTATTCACCTTTGGGGATGGAAGTCCCACCGAACAGGTGCTGACTGGGTAAGAACTGCTTCTTGCGTGCATTATTGGAAGTGGGGAACAGTGGAAGGGCTGAGGCTACCGGTGGTAAGAAGGGCTGAGGGTAAAGAAGGAAGTGGCCCTTATTGCCAAGGGGCCCTATCCTACCTCACCTCAGCACCCGAATCCTGAGCACTGCCCCATTCCTGCATTAAAGACCAGTGCCGGAGGGGCCCAGCCCAAGTGGTCCTAGCTTCAGCTATCACCTGTTAGCCCGGGAACGTTGGGGGCTGTGTTGTGCTGTCTCCCAGGGTTAGGTGGGAATATGGGAGTAATGCTCCACCCTCTCATCTCCAGCAGTTTTCTGCTCCAAATGGAAAACCCTTACAGGTCTGATCCCTCGGCACCGGGGAAGGCCGAGCCAGGATCTGGAGATCCAGGTTTCTGAGCGCTACCTCCTGGCCTTGGCTTAGCTTTGATTTAGGAACAGGGTCTAAACCCTTAAGAAGCTGGTCAAGCCCGGCCGGTGTGGCTCAGTGGTTGAGCGTGGACCCATGCACCAAGATGTTGCCAGTTCAATTCCCGGTCAGGGCACATGCCCAGGTTGTGGGCCCGATCCCCAGTGGGAGGCGTGCAGGAGACAGCCAATCGATGCTCTCTCTCATTGATGTTTCTATCTCTCTTTCACTCTCCCTTCCTCTCTCTCTAAAATCAATAAAGACAGAGACGTAGAAGTGGGGTACAGACTGATAATCCCCTGAAGAGGGGGTGGGGGAGAGATAAACCACAGAACTGATATGCATGTATGTATGAACAATGGACATGGACAATGAAGGTGGGGACAGGGTGGGGAGAGAGGGTGAGGGGGGAATCAGTGGGGGGGAAAAGGAGAAACATCTGTAACAAAAATAATTAAATTAATTTTTTTAAAAAGTAAAAAAATAAAATAAAATAAAGAGCGTACAATAATAAAAAAAATAAAATAAAATCAATAAAGGGGGGAAAAAAAGCTGGTCAACGTGAGCCCTGACTTCCGACCCTCTCTGTGACCCAGAGCTTCCCTGCCCTGGGTTCTGAGGCGGCCTGTCATCCCAGCCCAGGCACTGCTGGAGCCCACTGAGACCAGATCAGTGGCAATGGCACCAGATGTTTATTTCCTGTCACTGTACCTGCTCCAGCTCTGTCTCCTTGGGATGATACTGTTGCCATGCCAACAACAATATTCCCTCTCAGAGGGGCTATTATTAGGCTGCAGGCTCTGTTACAGTATGACTTTCGGGAAACAAAAGCTCAGCCCTGGAGCCCCTTTTCCCTTACAGGTTGACCTGCTCCCCAGCCTCAGTTTACTCATCTGCATAGTGCAGTATCGGGACTCTCCGTCTGCAGCTCTCACGGGGCTGCCCAGGACTGGCCCCTCACTCTCTCCGGCTCCTGCAGCACCTCAGCAGAAAATGTCTCTGGCCAACAGTAGCCACAGGGCTGCTCTCGTCAGAGGTAGCTGCCCTTGGCCCAGGGACCCCAGCCTTTCCTGGACTCTGTGACCAACCCTAACCCATGACTACTGTATTGCTGGACCCTGGGACTGCCCCTTCTTTGCCCTGACCTCATGACCTCTTCCACTTAACTACTGCATGACCTTTCTGTGACCCGTGACCCTTGAGCTGGTTATTCCCTGCAGTGGTCTCCTCCTCCTTCTCCTCTTGCCAGTCCTCCTGCTGGTCTTACTGATAGCCCAGAGCCTGGTCAGAAGTCATCTGACCCTGCTTCTGTCTAGGTGAGCCTCCAGAATGCTTCACCCAAGGGAATGAGACCACAGGTTCAAACCCTCCCACAGATCTGCCGCAGCTGCCCTGCTTCCCAGAGATGTGCTACATGGAGGCAAAGTTCTCCAGCCAAATGGCAGTGAGCGCCCAGGAGCGCCGCTGTGAGGTGCAGAGGTGCAGAGCGGGCTGCCGTGGGGCCTGGCGGGAAGCTGGGGCTGCTGCGGCGGTTGGGCCTGGGGTTGTTGGAAGCGGGGTGACGTTCAGGTACACACAGGAAGGTGCTGGGAGAGAGACTGAAGTGGGAAGGAGAGGAGTCAGTGTTAGACGCCCAGAGAGCCTGAGAGACAGCCCAGAACTGGCTGTGCCCCCCATCCTCATCCTGGACTCTGGCACTTGCTTTATCCAGCTGATTCAACTCAACACTTCCCACTGCGTGGCCTGGTGCACCACAGCTGTGAGTGGGGAGGTGAACTTGGTCTCAGCCTTGCCTGCAGGCCAACCACTTGGCCCACAGCCCAGTATGCTGCTCTCTGCAGCGCTGCAGGGGTGGCCCACTCTGCCTGGGGCTCAGTCCCACCAGCCTGCAGCTCCGAGCCCCTTCTCTACCGCCCTCCATTAGGGAGCCCCTATTCTGACTCCCGCTCCCATTGGCCCCATAAGCTCTTAGCCCCACCCTACCTCTCCTCAGCTAGCCTTACCCACCAGTTCTGAACCTCACCCTTTGACAGTTCCTCAAATGTGAGCTCGGTTTTCACCAACTCCCCAACCTCTATCAATAATACCCCACTTTCTAAACCTTGTCAGGCTGATCCTTAGCTTTGCGGTCTACTTTCTTCAACTTCCCAAGTCTGAGCTTTCTACCTTCAGTGCCCCACCCCCTTCCAGATTCCCCTTCCCAATCCCCCAACCTTTCCCAGCCCAGTTTAGCCAGTGCACCCCTCCCCGCAAGCTCAAAGGCAGCCAGAACAGTCTCCTGTGCTTGTCTAGGGTGGCAGCAAAGGGGAGAGTTTCAGGTTGTGACTGTCCACACACAAGATGCCCTCCCTGGGGATGGGGCCTGGGACTTTGCAGAATTGTCCCCAGCAGAGGGGTCACAGCACTTCCCTGGGCAGCCGTGCTTTGCTCCCAGGTCTAGGTCACCTTGACCAGCCCAGAGGACAAGTTGGTTCCCATTCCACCAGCCCCGGGAGAAATGTGAGTGTCTCATTCATACCTGCCAGCTCTGGGAGGTGGAGGCAGGGATGGACAGCATGTGGCGGCTGGGGCCAGTGGGACAGGCATGAATGTGAGTGTCTCATTCATACCTGCCAGCTCTGGGAGGTGGAGGCAGGGATGGACAGCATGTGGCGGCTGGGGCCAGTGGGACAGGCATGATGGGGCTCCAGCCTTCCTCTGTCTTTCACTCCCTGTTCAGTCTGGAGAGCCCCGCCCCCCCACCTCCCTTCCACTTTCTTTTTTTTTTTTTAATCCTCACCGGAGGACATTTTTGCATTTATCTTCAGATAGAGCGGGAGGGGGGGCGGGGGGTAAGACAGAGAGAAACATCCACATGAGAGAGACACATCCAGTGGTTGCCACCCACAGGACACCAACTGGAGCGGGAACAAACTGCAACTGAGGTACGTGCCCTTAGTGGGAACCGAACTGGAGACTCTCTGGTCCGTGGGCTGATGTTCTAACCGCTGAGCCAAACCGGCCAGGGCCCTTCCACTTTCTCTTCCAGGAGAAAATCTATGCCACCTTCTCCTGCCAAGGCAGTGAATATTTCAAAGGGCAGAAAGCTGTGGCCATATGCCCTGAGGTCTTGGACTTCTGTGAGGTGGGCCTCTGGAGGGCTCCAAGGATTGGGGTGCCTCATGAATGCAGAACTTTCTCCTTCTGCCTGGACCGAGTAGGTTAGCAGCTGCATCTGGCTGGAGCTGGAGATGGACCTGTTGGGAGCCAGGCCGCCTGGGGTCTGGCATGCTTGACCTCTCAGCCTCGAATTATGCCTGATCCAGGGCAGCAGCTGGAATTTTCCAAGTCTCCATGACATGCCCCCTTGTTTCTAATCACCCTGCAAATTCTCTGGGACTGGTTGGCTGACCTCATGGGGAGGGAGCTAGGAGCCCAGAGAGGTTCAGCTCAGACATGGCTCTCTTTCTTTCTGCTTCTGTGAGTGGGCGAGTGGGGCAACTGGGGGGGATGAATCGTCCTGTGTCTTCTTGTTGCTGAAATGGTCCAGTTCGGGCCACACTGCGAGGGATCCACAGGTGTTATGGGGCCATGGCTCAGTCCTGCTCCCAGAAATGTGCCAAGCCCAGCAGGCAGCTGCCTCCAGCTGGATGGGAACCTCCACTTCAACCAGGAGTCCCCTGCACTGGTCCCTGGCTGGGGCCGCCTGCTGCTCCTCCACTCTGCCCTGCTCCCATTCCTGCTCCCCTGGCTGGGCCAAATCAGGGAGCAGCAGCCAGGAGAATCCTGCAGGCCTGGCAAGGCCCCAGGCCCACCCCCAACTCTGGTTCCTGTAGCTGTATCTTCAGTGAAAGGAATTTCTCATGTCCACAGCTCTGGGCTCAAGGCTCCTCGCTCCTGCCTCCCACCACCTAGGCCTGACCGTGGTGCCCTCCACTTAGCCCCAATCCCAGAGAGAGGCTGAGGTTTATCTGGAGAAACAGAATTGTTTTTTCCTGCTTGACCCCCATCAAGTGGGAGGACTCCGAAGTCCTGCAGGGACAGTGTGTAAAAAGTGCCCAGCCCCGTCTACTTTTCCCAGACCCTCCTCTCAGCCTTTGGCATTAAGAGTGGGGCTGGAATTGGAGTTTCCCTGCCCTCCTGCAGGGATATCCACCCCTTTATCTCTAAGGGTACAAATCAATCCCCTTTTCCCTCGTCCTTCACATGACCTTCTCTGTACCCGAGGTACGTGCCCTTAACGGGAACCAAACCCAGGTCTCTCTGGACCGCAGGCCGACGCTCTAACCGCTGAGCCAAACTGGCCGGGGCACAGCCCTCATCCTTAAGCAGCTCCGTGAATCGGGCAGGATGGGTGCTCGCCACGGCACACGCATCATTGGCACACGCGTGAGGCTGAGGGAGGAACTATGGCACAGACGTCGGAGTCAGACTGTCAGCTGAGGTTCAGTTTTGCCACTGGCTAGCTGCAGGGCTTTGGCAAAACTCTGAGCCTCAGTTTCTGCAGCTGGAGACTGGGGCTAATGGTTCTTCACAGTGCTGTTCCCCTTTAAGCCAGGATAGGGTAGTTACTCGGGGAAGAAGAGCTCCAGTAGAGGTCAGAGTTGGCCCGCCTGGATGAGAGGCATGGAGAATGGAATTGAGGAGAAATTCTTTTTTTCTCTTAAAATGTGACTATCTTCTTTCCGGGGCCCCGGGCAGGGAAATCTGGCCCCATAACTCAGAGGATCAGGGGTGGAGGTGAGGGCATTTATTAGGAAAACATTCCGGAATAGGGAACTCCGCGTACTCCAGGACCTAAGGAGTTAACAGGGGTGGGGAGACCCCCACGACTGATGCAGGCATGCTGGGACTTGCAGGCGGAGTGACCATTGTCTGCGCTAGGGCTGCTGGGAAATGTAGTCACTGGCGGGCCGGGGTCCGCGGAGTCCCCAACACCCAGCGGTGACAGCTCAGGAGGTAGGTGGCAATGACAGCAGGCTAGGAGCAGGGAACCCAGGGCAGAGCTGGGCAGAAGGTTGTGGGCAAGCTGAGGGCCGGACCCGTCCTGGCTGCCAGAACCGGATACTCTTCTGGCCCGCGGCTGATGCAACGGGGCCTACTGGGCTGGGAGGAGGGTGGGGGCAAAGAGCAATGGGACACTTTTCCAGTCTCCAAGGAAAGAGGAACAAGACTGGGGTCCTTGTCCAGGATGAGACCGTCCCTTCCAGAGAGGAACAGGATGCTTCCCCAAACCCCATGCAGACACATCACTGACACCTTCCCAAGAGGAGCCTGCAGGACTAACACTGCTCCCTGAAACGGAGGCAAAGCCCATCCCAGGAGCAGTGGGATCGTGTCCCCATCCCATTGATGGGACCAGGCACCCCACTTTCCACAAGTAGAGTTGACCCCTCTCAAGAACAACTAGACACCCTCCCAGACAAAGGGCAATACAAGAAAGTGTACATCTCACCAGGGGCAAAGAGATAACCCCTCCCCTTAGAAATTTACAGGCCCATCCTAGGGAGAGGACGGTCAGCCCCCTCTGCCTTCTCACCGCCCCTCCCCCCTGCCTGTCAGCCTTCTGAGGCAGGTCCATCACCTCCTGGCTAACTAAAAGGGGCTCCCATCTATACCCCCAGGGTGTGTCTGCTCAGTAGGGGGCAGCATGGACCAGTCCGTGGCCATCCAGGAGACCCTGGCCGAGGGGGAATATTGCATCATCATATCCTTCCCAGCGCTGAGCTCCCAGCCCCAGGCCTGCCTGGCCTTGGAAAGTGGAATGGAAAGTGTCCAGGTGTCTATCTGCTCTCCTCCCTCCCTCTGAGCCATCAGGGAAGAAGGAAAACTGTATTTACTAAGTATTTACTCAGTACTAGTCTCTCCTTCCAACCCCCTGTGAAGTTGGGGTTTATTATCCCCACTTCACAGATGGGAAGGCTCGGAAAGGTGAAGCAACTTGCCCAAAGTCACACAGTGAATCTGTGTGGGCAAGGGAAAAACAGGGAAGGTGGGGTGGGCGGGTTGGGAGAGCCCTAGCCTCCTGTTGCCTTTCGGGTTTGGTTTCCCTTGACCCTGAGCAGCAGGCGGTGCAAGGTGTGCTGTGTGAGGGGGACAGCAGGCAGAGCCGCCTGCTGGGGCTTGTGCGCTGCCGCCTGGAACACGGAGGCCAAGAACACGCGTGAGTGAGAGCTTCCGTCCTTGCCTGTCTGGGTCATGGGGTTATTCTTCACAGTACCCTCCAGTTGGACTCAACCATTCCCTCTGGGGCAGAGTCAGAGTCTTCCAGAATTGTAATAATGATAGTTAATCCTTGTGGAAGACTGTATTCCAAGCCCTCGTGTGTATTAGCTCCTATAATCCTCGCTATTTGATGAGGAAGCTGCTGGAGAAGTGGCAGTTTAACACACTGGCCCAGATCTTGAGTCTCATGGCCTGATTGCCTGGGTTCAAATCCAGGCTTTGTTACTTCCAAGCCACACAGGACTGAGCAAGGTGTTTACTCCTCCGTACCTGTTTGCCCAGATTGGAGTGAGTTATTACATGTTAAGCCTCTAAAACACTCTGAGGCATATAGAAAGTGCTCAGTAACACCCATACATCCCCCCCCCACACACACACACACAGAATACTAACACTTGTCAAAGGCCTCACTGCCAACAAGTGGACCTTAGGGTCTCAGAGCTGGGAGAAAGGAACCTTAGACATTTTCTAATCTACCACCCTAACTTTACAGATGCAGAAACGGAGGTTCAGGGAGGGAAAGGGGGTAGCTGAGGTTGCACTGTTTCTGTCACAGGCAGGATTAGAATGCACCATGGAGATCAAGCATGAGTTTCATGAACAAAGCAGGGGCTCCCCCAAATGAGGTCCTGTCCTCACCTCTGCTTCCTGCCCTTAGTCTCTTCCTGTATACACACCGGAGGATGGCCATTACAGGGGATGATGTCTCTTTGGACCAGATAGTGCCGGTCTCGCGGGATTTTACACTGGAAGAAGGTGCCACAGGGACTGGGCGGTATGAGTCCCTCTCCTCTGGGCTCCCAGGTCATTTCTGCCCTTGTTGGGGGTGGGACACTGGGAGGACCCTGGGGTTGGGGTGTTCAATTGCTAAGGGCCTTTTTGTTTTCCTCCCCACAGTGTCCCCAGATGGTGAACTCTACATTCTTGGTTAGTGGTCCTTTCAATCTGCATCTCATTTGGGATGGGGGTACAGGGTCTGTGAAGTAAGAGCACCCTCTGACAGCTTTCCTGCAACAAGCAAGACCCTGCCAGCTTGGCCACGCTCACCCCTGGGCCTCAGTTCCTGTCTCTTGCTTCCTTGCTTGCTGGGCTTGGAATCCTCTGGATTGCTTCTATCACTTCAAGCACGACAGGTTCCCAGCACGGAGTCCCTGCACCTGCTGTTCCTTCTTCCTGAAAGCCCTCGCACCTCTTTTGACTTAGCCACTTATCCTTTAGGGATTCAACTCACACTTGACTTTTTCCAAGAAGCCTTTGTTGAACTCCTGAAATGTATCTCACTGAGATGCATTCCTTTCTCTCATCCTTGCCAGTTCTTTGTCACTCACAGTGACTTAATTCTTGTAGTGATTTATTTAATATCTATCTTCTTTGCCAGACAATAGTAATAGTAGTAATGATAGAAATGAATATTTAATCAGTGATTACCTTGTGCCAGATATTATGCTAAGAGCTTTACACACAACTTTATGAGGTTGTCGCTGTTTTCATTCCCATTTTATGCATCAGGTAACTGAGGCCCAGAGAAATTAAGTAATTTAGTTAGTGGTGGAACCGAGATTCAAACTCAGAACCCAGACTCTAGAGCCCACACTCTTTTTTTTCTTTTTCTTTTGGTACATGCCCTTAGCGGGAACCGAACCCGGGACTCTCTGGTCCACAGGTTGACGCTCTAACTGCTGAGCCAAACCGGCCAGGGCTTAATTTTTTTTTCTTTATTCATTTTAGAGAGAGAGGAAGGGAGAGGGAGAGAGAGATAGAAACATTGATAAGAGAAAACATCGATTGGCCACCTCCTGCATGCCCTCCACTGGGGATTTGGCCCACAACCTGGGCATGTGTCCTGACCGGGAATTCAACTGGCAACCTCTTGGTGCATGGGTCAATGCTCAACCACTGAGCCACATTGGCAGGGCTAGAGCTCACACTCTTGATCACTCTGCTAGATGCTCCTACTTACTCATTAGTTCAGCACATGTTTTGGAGTGCTCCCGGTGTGCCTGCCAGGGGCTGGGGTTTGCTAAGAACAAGACACCATCCACAGTCTGCTTCCCTGAAGATAGGCCACGACCTTTCTCTTCACCATGGTATTCCCAATGCCTAGCACGTGCCTGGCACAATTGAGTAGACTGGCTGAGACAGCCCCTCTTGTGGGCCTCTATGTGCTTCTCATTCCACTTGCTGGGGGGTACATTTGTCTCTTCCAACTTCGTGTAGTCCTTCTGTGGCAAGGCTCAATGACATTTTAGAGTCTTGGTCCATGCCCTCTGCAGAGTGAGGATAATGTTCATTTGGAGCTGAGGGCATGATGGGTTCCCTTACAGCTCTAGCAGAAGCCTTCTGTGAATTACTTAAGGGCTGAAAGGACTTTGGGAGCTTGGACTGCTGGTTCTCCATTCTGGGGACTCTAGCCTTAAGATGCACCCATCCTTAGCTCCTGAAGGTCAGGGACTCATTTCCGGCCTCCTCTGTGCAGGCTCAGATGTGACTGTCCAGCTGGACACAGCGGAGCTCAGCCTCATATTCCAGCTGCCCTTTGGTTCACACACCAGGTTGTTCCTGCAGGAAGTTTACAGGGCCTGTCCAGGTAGGTAAGACCCCAGGTTCCCATGGGGATTTTGGTTGGCTGGTTACTAATCTACCAACTACCCATTGATTTTCCACATTCTGGACTCATACTCCAGTTTCTGTGCCTTCTCAAAGCTGCTGTCATGTG